TCTCAGTCCTGTTGGTCTTCCAGCTCCACTCACTCTCCCGGTCTGAGAATTGAGAGGCTCAGAGAGACGGACTGTCCTACTGCACCACCAGAGACGGAGGAGAGATCCCCATCGGAAGAGGCACCAGACTGCTTACAGGTGGGACAAATCCCACTCTCTTCTTGATCTTTGGTGTGTCAGGATGTGATCTCAGTGTTGAGAGATGAAAAGATTTTCCTGCAGCTGTGTGGGGGTTTAGTTCAAACTGGGAAGAGAGCCAGACGGATACCTCAAGGAGGAGAGAGCAGTGATCCTGTGAGTCTGCTTGTGCTCTGTGTGGGACATCCTGACGGTCGGTCAAGGGCAGATGAAGGAGGTGTGTTTAGTCTTTAAATCCTCTGGAAAAATGCAGACATTGGTTGCATTACTTCCTTGTGGAAGTGTTTATTCCCAGCAGGTGGGTGGAAGTTGGAGCTTGCTCTTGGATGGGTCATATCTACACTTCATTACACAAAGGCTGGTGGAGGTGGGGAACAAGCTGCCCGGCCATGTTGTTGAACCCTGGCTTCTCTCAAGATCCTCCAGGCTTGTAACTCCTAACTGCCAGAGGGTAAGATGGGCCAGATGACTCCTCCTCTTTGTGATCTGTCTTGTCTGTTGTAGGAAAAAACAACTCATTGTAGTTCTTCCTCAGTCTCATCCACCCTCATGTTCCTGTTTGCTGATTAAAGCTGGTCAGGAGCATGAAATTAGCAATGACACTGAGGAGGAGAACTCGCTGCCTGTGCTGAAGGGTTTCTGGTCTTGAAATTTACAGGGAAAGGAAGAAGAGCCCACCCTGATGGGAGATCGCAGCACGAGTGAGTCTGATCTTCACCCTGTTCTCTGCTCTCCTTCTGCGTGCGTGTCCACTGGCTCAGTCACGGAGCAGGAGAGAGAGCTGAGTGAGGTGCACCTGTCCTGTATTTATACAGTCTAGAGGCACACAGTCTAGAGACACACCTGACCTGTGTTTATACAGTCTACAGATGCATGGTACAGAGGCGCACCTGTCCTGTATTTGCATGGTCCAGAGGCGCACGGTCTAGAGACGCACCTCTGCTCTATCTACAGCATTTATACAGTCTAGAGACGCGCGGTCTAGAGACGCA